TCTAAAAGCGTGCACATCGCATGAAAAAAAGCCGTTGACCCCGTGTGTCAATCGTCAATTCCCGTCGCGGTTCGCACATTTCGCATCGCCATCGCGCGAAATAATGCATAGCCGTCGAACGCCGCTCCTCCATTGAAGAATAATTTTCTAAATATGGGGTGATTCTAAATCGTGGTAAAGACTATGTTAGCGCAATACGTTCTATCGACGTTTTTTTCGCACCCGCTATTCCTTTCTCCCGCGATCTATCCGAATTAAACATACACGATGAGTTTTCGAAACCCTCAATGTTGAGGATAATTTTTATCTTAGAAGACAAGTATTTAGCAATTTTATTCAACGTCTTCCCGCTCTTGATCACGTCCTTTTGTTGATTATCGAAAACTGACAGCTACAAAGCTATGACATGAAACGGTGACCGAGTGAATAACTTTTCGCGCTTCGCGAAAACGACGCTCGTTGCACGATTATGTACTTCGATGCAGCGGGGATTGGTTGCGTTTAGCTGCACCGCGCCGGGTTTATGAAAGTACGAGAGTTATACCCCCTCCTCGCCCCCGGTCTACCCTTTTTTTTTATTCGAAAATGATAAAAAATCGGCCTAATGTAAAATTCATTATGTCCATTACGGCTAATTAAGCGGAGCGAACACTCACCGAAAGCTCGTGCATTTTTCAGCGATAAAGTCGGCGGCTCTTAATTATTTTATTTCGAGCGAACGCGTGCGGGCCGTATATAATTTGGTATATTCTATACATATATGTCAAATCTCGCGATGTATCGTACAAGAGAGCGCTCATCTCCGCCGCGTATCTCAGACAATACGTATCATCGCGCTAACGAGTTCGCAACGCAACAATAATCGCATTAAGACGTTAATTAAATGTTACACATAATTTCAAATAGCTGCATAATGCCACTTCGAAGTAATTGTTGTTTGTACAGGCAGTTCTCACGATGCGTTATCGTGCAATTTAATAGTTGTTCATTAACGGGAATTAGAGATGGAGCAGCAATTACGCCTCTCCCTTCGAGCGATAATAAATTACTACAAATCGATGAATCGTAATATTTCATTACACTATTTCAAGTATTTTGTTGCTAATCAGGAATGCTTCCCATTGTTCCGGAGTCGCTGGGCATTGTGCTCGATCGGAAAAATGGTGACTGATTAATCTGCCCGCGCTACCGATCGTTCGCTCTGTCAGCGGCGTGTTTGGGAATTGCATTTGAAATCTCCCAATCGCTTGCCGATATCCACGAATTTTGAATACACTGAAAATTTAACGACAGATAGTTTTATCTCTTGTTCAGAATTAATCTCACGTCCATTCGCTTTCTACGAGTATTGCTGCGAAATATATCAAATATATTAATGCGCAAAAATATATTTTAATTAAAATATTTTAATTTCGCTCTCAATTTCGCTATATCAATTTTGATTTTTCGATATAAAAAAGAGTCTTAATCGTATATTCTGAACGAACATACGACCAAGGATTATTCGATAGTTTCAAAAGAGGCGAACGTATATACGTAAAGGATGATTGGATAAGCAATACCTATCGAAGCATACAAGCGTGGCAATTGTTGTGTAACTATCATACACATCTATCGCGGTTATCAGAGAGATAGAAAGGGAAAGAGCTGCCACACGCGCTATTATGTGCAACGTACTCGTAACGAGCAATTTTCTAGCCATTAATGCAACGATTATACAACAGAGCTATTACGTTTACTGTATCAATGATGTGGAGTGTCATAACTTGATGTTGCATACAATGTATAGGCTGCAGAAACGAGCGGATTTATCCGCGAACGGATTCCTCGCGCGTTCGCTCATTTTAAATTTAATTAATCAGAGGCATCAAGATAGTTTATCACATGGTGATTTTCGGATCGATCTTAAGATATGTATCTTGAAGAGCAGTCCCCAAAATTCTTTAATCCTCGAGAAATATTTTAGCTTATGCGATATTTTTAAAAACTCTTGATAAATAAATATAATTATATCCAGGACGAAAGAATTGATTAGATTTTTAGTATCCTTCAACAAAGACATAAGTCGATGACCACGAAACATCCTAAGGTAAGCGCATCTCTTGGAAAGGGTTTCTAACCGCGGACGAGCGACGTGCTAACATGGAAAAATAATTAAAAAATAAAATAGATAAATAAAGATTAGGTGATTATCTTTAAAATACGCAACAGATCCGCCATGGCAAGTCAAGAAACCTTTGATAGCGACGCTCGATAGTATAGCGATGCTGAGCGCCGGCGCCTTTCCCTCGCAGCCCCATTGGTGCCGAAGGCCCTCTCCACACGAGTACCCGCTGCCGGGTTTCCTTGGAAACGCTTCGTTCACGCTGATGTCTACCCTCGCCCACAGAAAACCTCTTTCAATTAGGCAGCCTGCCGCCCGACAGACCCACGAATCCCGGTTCGCTTTCTCTCCTTTTCCTTTCCTTTTTTTTTTCTCTTCCTGATATTTCCCGAGAAAGAAGAAACGAATACTCGCTGTTCCCGGAGCCGGAAGACCAAGTCCGGCTTCCCTGACATGACTTTGAAACCACTAATTCATTAAACACTCCGGAAAGTGCGCAGCGGAGTCAATATATCGCGCGATATTCTCAGCGCGATGACGGATGAAGATCATCGAGGTAGACGTTGTAATGTGATTCTGAGACGATCGAATCGTCAGATTTAAATTTTATAGCGCTATGGTACAAGTGTTACGATATCGAAAAACGATTTTACATATATGATTAACCTGGAGAAGTAATTAATAAAGTTTGTAAATTAAAATCTATTTTAAAATTAGAATCTCGGACCTGTATTTAAGCGAAACTTTCGTATCAAACTGATTGTTCTTTTTTTAAGGGATAAAATATCTTTCTGATAGTTATCCATAACTATTCTCATCATATAAACACCTAGCTTATTTTACAACAAACGAAGATGCACGATATATCCGACTCGTATGTGCAAATTTATATACGCGCGCGAAAGAGAGATAGAGAATGGCTGCTTGATATGCGGCACAACGCGCGGCTTGACTGACGCCTCCAAGTTGCGAATAAAATTTTCATGAATTTCTATTAACTCCGTTTTTCTAGACGTGCCCCGGAGACTTAAAAGAGTTCCATCAGCTGATGGCCCGCGGGGAGAACAAGCCATTCTCCTACGCGATAGTCAAATTCGATCGAGTTGACAAATTTTTAGCTGATTTGCTCTTGGATTAATCCAATGTATCGAGCCCTCGATTAAAAATTATTAGAAAATAAAGTTAATACCAATGAAATATTTCATGAAAATCGGCAAAAAGTTTTATGAAAATTAAATGATAATTAGTCATTAAAAATGATGAATATTGATAGAGAACTTTATAAACGCAATAATCTTGCTTCGGCTATTCAATTTTTAAAACATATTCATGTTGTAAGATTATTTTTAATATAGTGCAAAATAATCCCATTTGTTCGAACAAAATGATATCGTAAAACTCGAGTATATTATAATAAATCAAAATGTTTTTTGCGTTTATAAAGTTCTCTATCAATATTCATCATTTTTAATGACTATTATCATTTAATTTTCATAAAACTTTTTGCTGATTTTCGTGAAATATTTTATTGGTATTAACTTTATTTTCTGATGATTTTTAATTAAAATACGTGCTGATATTACGCCGAGTAATTGAACGGAAAGGTTGATGAACTCTATTAAATGAATAGAACAGGAATTCAAAGATTTTCGTTCTACGAATTCTGAGATATAGATTTCCGTCGGCTCCGTATTTAGATAAACTGCGGAAATCACGAGTGTATTCTTGCTGTCAAAAACACATTATGCTCGTTAAATTATAATACGAAAGATGCTTCGATTTACCGTGTCTTTTTAAATTTGATTTGACATTTATTATTGACACATCTATTTTTAATCTTCATTGTGCACTATTTTTGATTCGTTGCATCCCTCTGTGTTAATGTAATGCAATATAATTAGCTTAAATCATTTCCCTAAAAATTCATGAAATAAAATCGCTCATTCTTAATCGCATCGAACAATAAGATGTCTAAGCTAGAATTATCTTGGATAATTGATGATTATTCATGGATGGCTCAATATAAGGAAGGCTTAGCAAATAGCAGCTTTTGAGGGAACCACTTTCTCGATCCTTGATCGAGAAATTCCTGATGCTAGACGCAGGACTTGCGCGAGTTTCCGCAAAGTTTCGCGGTCACCCCGCAACCAAGCGGAACCCACCAAAATTCGGAACCCCGCAGGGCGAGGGCTTAGCTGCTCTGCTCCAAGTTTCACTTTAATCCAAAAAGCCACAGTAGGCCGGCACAATTGATTCCACCGGAGAGTTCCGGTACTGTCTGGATATATGTTTCTGAGGATAACTGCGAGGTCACCACGCGACAATTTATGCTACAAACCCCCTGACTTATCACTCAATCGCTCTACATTTGTGTCATTAAATTTTTACACCGTAGTCGAACGCTATTTTTTGTCAAACTTTTATAAAAATATTCGTCCCTACAAAATCTTACGTTGTTATTAATTAACGTATTATTATGCATGATAGTCGCTCATCAGAAATCATTTCATGTGTGATAATATCTCGAAAAAATGATGCATGATATATCAATTTAATCATTGAAATATATAAATTTATATAAATGAATCGGTTATTGCGCATGAGTTTTAAAAAGTAGGACGTAATTTTCTGAAAAGAAAAATAATCGATATTTCTGATATTTTAAATCGCAAATAAATAAGTCACGTAATGTTTTTTTCTCGATGATCTTTTCGGAGATTTAAATATTTAAACGTAACGTTGCATTATAACTATTTTAATATATGCACGATGTAGAAATTCTCGCAATGTAACTTGGATACGATGGTGAATACGCAAAGTCACGCGATGGCTTTTATTTCACGCCGGATTAATCGTTTCGTGCCGACGGTAGTCTGTACATTTTGGCCACACCTACCTGAACGCGACTTTCCGTGAGACCGATTCTCACAGCTATTTCCTCCCTCAGGAAGATGTCCGGGTAGTGAGTTTTGGCGAAACACCTTTCCAATTCGTTGAGCTGGGCTGGTGTGAAACGCGTCCGATGTCGCTTTTGCTTCGCGGGTTTGTCATCGCCCTGCCCGATCACCGCCGCGCTTCCTAAAATACGAAATAAATAAATAATACAAACGTGTCGAATGCCAATTTCTCCGATATCAATTATCTTCAATTAATTGCAATAAAATTGCTAGAATATTTAAATTTCTACAAGCATATCTCATTTTCAAAGAAAGCTATGAAAGGTATCTATAAACTACCTATAAAATAATACTATTTTTTTATTCAAATATTGATCAAAAATTATTAATAAAATTAGCTTAAAATGGGCTGAATTAAGTTAAATTTGTTTTATTTTTATTGCAATTTATTGAATAATTATGGCACTAAGCTACTGTATTGGAAATACTTAGCAAAATAGTTTCATCTTCTAATTCACAATGCAAACATCATGTAATCCATTCTGAGAATATTTCATATATTTATTGCGGCTATTCATAAAAAATTCGCAGAAAATTTATGCAGTTTATCTTTTTGTTTAATCGACCATTATTGAATTTATTTAATGAACAAATAAAATCAGTCATTCATGTATTTAATCTCAAGACATTCAATTATTTTTAGACAGCGCTATCTCGGAATGTGAACAAAAGGCATATAAGGTATAAAGTAAAGTAATCGAATTATATGCCAAACTTTTTCATCTAATTTTGTTTATTTACTTTCTTTAATAATCTCATGGCACATTTATCTACTCCAGATTGGAAGATGGAGAATTAATTTGCGAGATTCGCGCGATTAAATTGCGAACCATTCTTTGAGTCTCTCCCGATTTTCGCAATTCTTTAACGAATTCAAATGGATAAAAAATATTCATTATAATAAGAATTTTATTTTGACAAATCTATAATCGTAATATATACATCCATTTTTTGTATTATATAATAAATCTCAAATTGTACAAAACAATTCATAAAATTTAATGTTTCATTCGAAACATTTTCTTCAATTTAATGTTTCATTCGAAACATTTTCTTTTACTTAAAATCAATCCGAAATATATCTGGGAATTTTTAATAAGAATTTATTGAAATAAAAAGTTTTATACCGGCGGAACTTTGGCATATCGACAATTTTATCATTGTATAATAAAGGAATGGTTGATCATAGTGAGACACAGAAAATGGAAAAAATCAATTTGCCGCCATAAGTGAATTAGTTGCAAATGTTAGATAGATTAGTCGAATGGACTGATGAATTTTCACTTTTCCACGCGACCCACGACGGAGGACGAGCACTCACCTGCGCCAGGCATAGTCATGATCAGCTCCTGATGAAGCGCCAGGCCACCACCCGCGGACAGACCGGAGCCCAGATTCACTCCCAGCACGCCGTGCTCCTTCTCGTACCGCTTCAGATCTTGCACATCCTTCGCTCCTACGCGCGTGCAGCAACACGGGGGACGGCGCGGGGCAGAAAAAAAGAAGACGTGCCGCTTCAGTTTTCTTCCATTTTTTCTCTTTTCGCCGGGCTTCCTCCTCGTGCTCCACACATGCCTCCCGCTCGCCCGCCCCACGCGCCCGCTCTACGTAGTTTAAATTTGTATAGGAGCAGAAGCCGGCCGAGGGGCGTACGGGCCACTTAGCGAGAAGGTGCGAGAATCGTCACCGTACTCTGGCTTCTAGGCGGCCGGACACACATGCGTCCCACACACACACGTTCGCGCGCGCGCGCGCGCGCAGGTACGCGCGTACGGGTGCGTGTGCGTGCGTGTGTACCAACACATGCGAGTACCTGGGTACGTTTACGCGTGGACATGCGTTACGTGCGGAGACAACCTCCGCAGGTTGTCCATCTCGGATCGCGGTACGCCATTCCCTCTCGGATCCAGTATGTGTCAGATCGCAGGTATCGCACATCGTTGTGCATTGTCAAAGATGCTTACGTAATGAGATAAACTAGTTTAGTTGGGTACGACGTAAACGCATCTTCTGCGTCGCGCGAATCAGACAAAGAGCGCTCGTGAAAAATTTCCATTCAATGATAATATTATACAATGGAACTCCATGGAAAATCGAGGAGGCTTGGAAATAATGAAATAACTCGTCTGAAACTATGGTCATTAATGGTGAACACTTTTTGTAAAAGATTTTGCGTAAAATTGGGAGTAGGTATGGCGTTAAAATTTTTCTAATCACGTGCGTTCTCAAGTTTTTTGGGTGAATTTGGATAGTAGGAATATTTTAGAAAAGTATATAAATACAGTAGTATTTTTCATTAAAGAATGAAAGAGGAATCTCTTTAGATCGATTGTTTAATCATTCATTGTTTAATCATTTTAATTTGATTATATTTAAGATTCATTGTTTAATCATTTTAATTTGATTATATTTAATAATAAACCCTTTTAATATATGATTAAAAAATGCGGAATATAAATAGAAATCTATGAATTTTATTTATAATCACACAAAGCTATAGAGAATCGATATCAAACTATCATGTAGTGAGATTTTGCTGAATGAATATCTCATTTGAATGAGCTTTATAACAGATCTTTATTTGTATTTTACTTTTTATAAACCTAAACATAATGATATTACCCGGATTTTAGTTTTGGTATTTATAAACTTCTTTTTCGATTAAAATTCGATAAATTTCTTTAATATTCTCGCTGAGGATGTAATTCTTTACACACATTAATGAGACAAATTTTGTTAGTGCACAAAAATTGTGCAACATAATCATAGTCTCGTCTAAATCGCATTGTGTATCCTAATATAAAGAAAGAAAATTGTTTGCCCGTAATTATATCCACATTATACACTTCGAAATACCTTTCCTCAGGTTAATGATTGAGAATTATTACTTAATCCCACGTTAATTGATCAGATTATCAAAGATCATAATCAAATTAACACGCTAATCACTAAAGGATCGCGTGCGTCGCAGTTAAGTATTCGTTTTACACGTGTATTTTTTTTTTCACTCGCTGGAGTATCATAGTAAATCAGAGTGCATGAAGTGGCTGTAGAAAAAAAAAGAAATTTTTATAACGTTCGATTGTTGCAACATTTATCGACGTTTGAAAACTTTATGATTGACAGCCGCTCGCGCAGAAACGTCTAAATAATAAAGTCATAAATCACATTACTATGTGCGGAAATGTCGTGACAGACGTATTTATTCGCATGTCACATTCGCGAGTTGGTGCCCGCCTTGTCTCAATGGATGGCCGACGCACCAAATGCAATTAACGTATATCATAAAAAATTTTAACGGACATACTTTAAGTGTGACGAAATGCATGCGTGCAACGACGTCCGAGGGCTAAATTTCATTTTCGAGATATCGCGATAAATTGAAGGGGAATAATTGAAGATATCGATGCGGTTTACGAATCGATCAATCATTAGTAAGTATACGTTTAATCTCATTCCGCCGAGTGACAGATAAGTGTAATTTATTAAACGCAAAGCCATACGATCTGCATTTGCATGAAATTCATAATCATCATACGACAATTAGAAACATAATTTGAATAAAAAATCAAGATCTTAATAAGAGTTGATCATCTCGAAAGTCGAAAATCTCTCATTCGTTTGAATTATTATTCAATCTGTTCGATAATAATGTTATTGCAATGAATAGAAAACAAGCGCATAAATCATATATAAACATCGCCTACTCCTTAAAGTGAAAGAAATTAAACGATAATTTTCTTTTAATCCAGTTAACGTGTACCACTTTATTCAGTTCTCGCCACTTACAACATTCTAACTCTCTAAATCGTTCCTCAACTTCTCGCGTAATGTAATCAGTGTTGAGGTAATTAAGATCATCAAACTCGAGAAGCGGCTTTCTTGAGACAGAGGAGATCGAAGACGTGCGCGTCACGTGTTACCGACACATCTTACCCTATTATTTCATACGGATTTTTAAATTAATTTCATCCCTCTTTTTTATTTTCTCGGTTACGATTCTAGAAGATAAATTTAACAAGAAAAATGTTCCCGAGTGAAAATAACGCAATTGAACATAATTTACTACTTTACTTGATATAAAAAATGTATAAGAAAAAGGAAATAATGCAAAAAAATTATAAACATGCATAATAAATACTTTATCAATTATTTATATGTTACTCTTCCACAAAAAATTTTTACGGTTGTCATTATACAAATTATAATTTATAAATTTATAATTTAATTTACTTTATTATCCACAAATATTTAACATAAATAAAAAAGTAATCAATATCTTTAATCTTATATAAAAAAATATTAATATGATTAAATAATTTTAATTTTTCACTTTCAATATGCATAAATGAGCAAAAAAATGATGTGAGAAATATAAATTTATGGATAAATTAATATAATCAATATTTTACAGGAAAATTCTACGATGTTAAATCATCCCCATAACATTCAGTAGGATTCAGAGTAGATTAGCCAGGCAAAACAGTCCCTACGCCAGCCGACGGGTGATGTAAGTCAAATTAATTAAATCTGATTCGTATTCGTTCAGGATTTGTTTTTTTTACAAGCATAATAAAATAAAAAAATGCAATGAATTATAACGATACGATTAAAAATAGACGTGTGCATAAAAAATATAAAATATATCCAAGTAAAATTCGCGATTAATAAAAACAATTTAAATTAAAAGACATCAAATTAAATAATTAAATTGCGGTAATAATTACTCAGCGACAGATCATAATAGTACTATTTATTTTATTAATTCACCCGTTTTACACAGGAAATGACTTTTGCCTCATAGAAGATGTTTGATTCATTATCGACTGTGACATTTAATCATAATTTTTTACATATTTTCGCAATTATCATTTTGAGACAGATATTTTTACTACAAATTTAACCATAAATAGTACGTGATTAATTTTAAATAAATCTGTGTACATCATAATATTACAATTCGTCTAAAAAGATTTTAGAATTTAAAATTACATATAATCAAATTATAATTATTTAAATGACAACCGTTTAACATCCCCTCTATAAATGTTTTTTATTTGAGTTTAGATATTCTTTAACAATGTTCGATTATTAATTAAAGATATTACTTGGATATTAATTCATTGAAAGTAAGTGCCACGTGAAGAAAAGAATGATATATTGAAAAGTTGAGATTATAGAATTTGAACATAAGAACTAGCTCTCGCACTTTAGAAAAACCATGAAACACGTCTCTTATGGGACACCTGATGCTACAATGATACTTGACGCCGCACTTTAAATCTGAGATTGTAGTATCAAAGTTTACACTATACTACTACATCAATATTGTACCGTCACTATTTTCTCTTTGTCGTATTCTACATTACGTATAAAAGTATGAAAATAGAATCAACTTTTTTACGACATAGAAATTTAATCGTTGTGATAAACTAACTAATAATTTTTCCGCGATATATATATTTATGATGATAATATCAATTATGACATATACTCCATTATTTATTCGATTCTCCGTAACTTCTGTCATGATCTCAAAAATTTACAGCTTTCAATCCATTAATGGTGGTGGAATCGGGCGCTATTATTCATATTGATGAAATCTGCGATATTGACACTGCATTAAATCTTTGAATTATGTATTTGATTCAATGAAATTGCCCAACACTTTACAATGTCTTTCACACATTGATGAAAAACTTTAGATATAAACTATATAGAATTTTTATACAGATTAGAAGCGAAGCGCGCGTCTACCGTCGACGACATATCGGTGACTCTCAAATATTTCGATTAAAAAATATATTTGGCAATCTCAAATAAATTTGGTAATCTCGATTAAAATATATTTCTAATTGAAATGCATTTATTATTCATGATTGGCGAGAAAATAATGTAAACGTCTCACTAGGTGGCCCGCACAATCATTAGTAACATATCACATTAACTAATTGTAAGACGTGATTAAAATGATTGCAATAGTAAAAATTTAATTACAATAATTAATATAATACTTAGCTTTCATCGATAATTTATTAAGCGTCAATTGCAATGATATAAACTGATAATTTCATTTTGAATGTTAATTTGGGATGAATCCAAGATACATTTAATTATACCGATATTGTCCGTCTAAAGCAGGAAATTTTGATAAATTAAAATAGGGCGACAGAGAAATCGGGGGTCGGGAATCTCGGCCAGCTTCAAATTTTGAAAAGAATTCAGTCGTGGAAATCGAACCCCAACGAGACGTTTCGATATTTGACAGACCAAGATTAACGAAATCGTGATAGCAAATGCTCATCCTTCTCGCACTATAACCGGGTAGAGATCTTTTTGATGTACGGTACTTACCGGAGATACCGTGTACGGAACCGCCGGCGGTGATATTGTTGAGCATGCCGCTCCCGGGGAGCGTAGCTCCGATACAGCACGCGGAAGCGGAAATCCGCGTGACACCGCGAACACCTCACCCTCAACTCGGAGGAACTTATACAGGGGAGAAAAAAAGAACTGTGACGCACGATCCTCCTTAGATGAGTATTTGGGATTTGTACAGACGAGCCTGAGGACCGGCCCGTGCCCCAGGAAGGCAAACAGCGAACTGGCCGACTGCCATATCCAAACTCCCCCACTCGTTCTCGCTTTGGTGGCAATGTTGGCATCTCGTTCACGTAAATCCTCTCGCCGCCGGTTCTCTCGCTCGCGCTCGCATCTCGTGAGAGTCCCTACCACCCTCGCGTTCTGCAACGGTGGGCGTGATATTAAATCGCTCCTACCCTTCAGATTCAACGGAAGCCAGGAAGGTAGCTAGCTGCGACATTGCCTTCTTCCAAAAACTTATTTTTGCAACCGGAATCTTGTCTATTTTATTTTATTTTTCTAGAAGCGAGAAGTAATAATTACTATAAATTATTCAAGACTATGATTATATATTTTATCTGTGATAAAATATTGATAATTATGATGAAGCGAAATTTCATATACTATTGTATAATAAATTTATCTCTAGGAAGATTGTTACTTGGGACTATAGATATTCTTTTCTACATGCATTTAAAAGTTTATACATTTTATCTCATAGAAAATTTAATTAAATATTAGTCCGAAATAATTGCGAAATTTTTTCTTCGCACAATCGTCGTCCATCGAGTGCTCTAAGAGGGTAGGGATCGGAAGCTTCGTCAAAAAGTGGAAATATCAGAATAAAAGGATGTAAGGTGATCGCGACGAAGGAGTCTCGCACCCGAAGACGCGGTACCGTCGCGTCGGCGGATTTTCAGTCGCCGGGACCGCGGTGGTTGGTAGCCGTACGAGGGTTGCCCATATCCCCGAGATGAACTCTATCCAGGTTACCGTCTCTTTCACCGTCTCCGCTTTGTGGTAGGCGGCAACCGCCACGAACACGGCTCCAATGAGCGAGTAGCCCGCCCTCCGGATGCCCCACTAGTTTTCGCGCGGTGGAGATTTATTGAAATTTTATTTTTATGGCCGGGGGAGGAAGGGGGGGGTGGAAGCGCGCGCGAGAGCTCGCCGCGAGTGCGAGGGTGGAAAAAGAGGGGTTAGGGAGGGAGGGAGGGAGCGAACAGACGACCGGCCGAAGGAGAAGAGAGAGCTCTCTTCTTCTCATTTCCTCCGCCTTTCTTCTCCCTTCTACCCTTTCAACCCCCATGCCGCGCCTCGTTCCCATCCCAGTCGCTCTCCGTCTCTTTCCGCTTCGCTCGTCGAGTTGTTTCACGTCCTCTCGTGCAACGCTTCCTCCCTCGCGCCCTCGCTGGAATCTCGCTCGCCTCGCGATCTCGCTCTCTCGTTGCACCTTATTCCCTCTACATCCTTTTAATTCAATAGCTACCCCTTTTTATAACGCGGCAGCCCACGCAGCGAGAACGGAAGCGAAGTCGCGATGACTCCTAACGCTTACTGATCCGCCAGTCCGCGATTCTACATTACAGCATTCCATCCTATTTGCGACAAGCGTAAAGGAACGGTAGTTCTTATGTAACAATAGTTTTTTATGCCGGATAATATAATAGTTTATTGAAATTTTAGATTCGTCCAAAGACATTATATTTGCCTCTCCGAATTAGGAGAAAATATATATAATAATACTTATTGTTAATTTGCATGAACACGAGTATCGGCACATTTTATTGCTTACATATAAAATATAAATATGCTATCGAATATATAAATAATTTCTAAATTACTATAATTAAATGTTTACTTTAAAAGCTGTTATTTAAAATTATATCTTGATATTTTAAATTTAATCAATTTTATTTATTTGATCAATTTAATAATTAATTAAACTTTTTTATAATATGGCTCGTTTATTAATAGTTCTTGTAGTTTCATCAGGGGTACATACATAAATAATAACAGTACGAATGACTCTGCTTTTAGTGCACTAAATGACTTATTAACGTCGCACCAATTAATATACAGAGTATTCCACTCACATTGAAATAATTTTAATGACTCATTCTTTGACGAATTTGAAGTCGTATTGTCATGTACATCGGTAATTTGTAATAATCGTCGTATCCATTAGTAATTCATAAACATTAGTTGCTATATTAACATTAAATCGATATCATATATTGTAATTCATTGTTCTAATATAACTTTTATATGCTTCTGTTTTTTAATTGTATTTGCAACAAATTTAAATTTTATAAATAATATCACGGCTTATAGAAAAGTATATATAATTTTTACAATAGATATAAAAATAACTAATTTTATAATAAACATAAAAAGAGAAAGTTTATATTTTATTTTTCAAATTTAATAATAAAAAAAAACCAGAAATGGTTAAAATTTCAAATACATGTATAAACCGGTACAGTTTGATATTATAACACTTCTATTGTATATTTGTAACAAATGTGAGGCTGCTGCATTGTCATGTAGCTTCTTGCAAAGAGGACAGACAAGAAGATGTCAAAGAAATTTAATAAACGCGATGAAATAGTTGCGTCCGAGTTTCATATATTTTTTCATTAATGTAAGGATGATTAACAAAGTTAGTATTTCCCACATTTATATCTTTCGCATTTTTTTTTATTTGTGATATGTTTGCGGGAAAATTTATTATACGATTTTCTATTCGATGGTGACCAATTTTTCGTCCTCTCTCTAAAAATTCTTCTCTTATCGTTATTAAATTATTTATATTTTATTTATATTTATGTGACTATTCACGTCCTCTTTCCCCAATACTGTAGAATAATTAAAAAATTTGCAACGACATTTCGTTCAAATATTTCGTAATAATGAGCTTATACGAAGCCACTTTTGGTGCATTCAAAGAAGAATCGCAACTGACAGGGATGCGATTTTTAATTATGCTTTTCAGATAACGCGTCATATCCCTTGTAGACTTATTTTTCGCTCATTTGCATCATATCCACCGGCGCTAATGAGCGCAGACGCGAACATATGCGTAGTCGGCATATGCAAATATATAGCTAATTGGATTAAAGATAATTAACGTCGCTGGTCCGAGTATTCGATCACACAGACCGTACCCGAGAAATTTCGACCATATTGCGACAATATTCACAAACACAATATGAACGGTACAACCTATGTAACCAGTGGCGATGATCGCTGTGTGTAATTGCAAAAATACTGTGGAATCTCCCCCATAATGAAATAGATATCACGCGGAATGCGTTGCTCGCCCGTACGGAATTCTCAGTCACATCATACTTCAAATGCATCGCGTTTGCGGTTCTCATTTCCGATGATCGCGATATTTGGGACAGCAGGATCGCTCTGACAATGGATAAATTAACTTTAAATCCTTTTACATCGTGTGATTTTATTTTTATCTCAAAAAATATTTCTTAATTGTAGAATAAATGATAAATTAATTTTAATTTGTTTGCAGCTGTAAAAAATCGAATTTATGAGAGAAAGATGTCACTTTTTTATAATACTTAAACAGAAATAAATATTTCCTAATCGTTATTATCATAATCGTATATTTTTATTACTTTTATTATTTTTAACTATTTGTAGATATTTACTATTTATAGATATTACACATTTAAACACAGGAAATGAAGACATATATCGAAATGTTGATTAATGTAATCAAGTCTAAGAAATTATTCGATTATAATCGCAAAACATTGAAATAAACGCGAAAACGATAGAAACAGCTTTGATTGAAATCGTTATGTATAGACAGTTTCAAAGACGACTAACATGTGGCCAAAACGTGCTGATGGCGGACAAAAATTGAACAAAGCGACTATTTTTTCAACGCATTGTTAGGGAACTGGAATGACATCTACAGCACTCGTAAACCGAAAATTATTTGGTAGGCAGGTATGTGTGCTCTGGCACGATCGATTTTAAACAGACGAGTCGAGCAACGGCAAATTGACAATGTGTCGAATGCAGACAACCGATGCCTCTGGCTAAAACTACCCTACCATGCGACGAAACCAAAGTCCTCTCTATATACATCGTTCGTTGCCTCGGAAAGTTGCAGTACATCCTTCCCAAAGTTCTTGATGGGTCGTATATTACTGGGTCACAATTGATTGCATGTTAAGAAATTAATATGTCGTAAACCATGATACTCTTTGTTATTCTAATAAAGAATTTATTATCTTCTCTTGTGTAAAATTTCAATCAAATTAATAATTAAGCAATTTAGTAATCAACAAACTACAAGCGTGGAAAATACTTATTTATTTAATATTAGTTTAAAGAGGGAAAATTAAATAAAATAATATTAAATAATAAATTATATGTCTGCAATTAATTTCACATCCAGCAAAGTATCAAACGGACAATTGTTATGTTTCGCACATATAATGAGAAGATACTATTAGTATATCAAGCACATCGTAGGGTAGTTTAATCGATGATGGTAAATCGAATCCGTTTGAGACTATTTTTTTGTTGCGCAAAATAATTTTATTTTCCTAAGCGTTGGCGAGATCCGACCCTCGTTCCGCCCTCAAACCCCGCCAACACACAAGTAATACCACTTTCGCATCGCGCGCGGGTGCGCGTTTCGCCGGCTCCAATTGGAACATCGCGCGCACGGGGCAACAGGCGACACACAGGTAGACAGGAATTTCTGATATTACATACCAGAAGCCGGAATGCCCCCATAACGGGTCCCGGGTGAGTGTACAAGGTTCTCCACATACGCCAGACATATTCTACGTCTCGCCCTCTAGCCGGTGTCTCTCCCGTTTGCTGCAAACCGCCATATGCCGCCCTTCTCTCCTTTTCCTCTCTTTTTCTTTCGACCTCGCCCTCTTCCGTTTTCCCTTCTCCCTTTCCTCCCTTTCTCTCTCTCTCTCGTTGTCTCCCTCTCCCTTTCTCTCTCTGTTTCTCCTTCTTTTTCCCTCTTTCCTCATCTCTGTCTCTGTTCGGTCAACGAGAATCCTCTTCTCCCCCAATTTCCACCGGTTACGGTCGTTTCGGAGTTCTTCAGCGGCGGCAAAGTACTTCAATAACGACCTTTTCTATCGGAAAATCAAAATCTTTTGTCGTTCGAGGCAAGTGTTCGCTTCCATCGATGCTCAGACTAGAGCTCCGAGATTCAAGATATCA